TTATTGTGTGGATGCTTTAAGGCATCCACACTATTGTTTTCCTGTTTCTCTTTATTGTGTGGATGCTTTAAGGCATCCACACTATTGTTTTCCTGTTTCTCTTTATTCTTTATTATTATTGTGTGGATGCCCTCAGAGGGCACACATACAGTTAAAGTTAGCATGTCTGATATGTGTAGGGTTTTTTGTTGTTGTTTATTTTGTTTATTTTTATTTGATTTTCACCCAAATGTAAAAGCTTCAGGAGATGAACTGTAGGACCAAAGTTCATGTGTGCTTTGCTGACAGAAAGTTAGAGATCTGTTCAGCCAACCATTCCTTTAACTTTAACTAGAAATGACTTTATAAATTTCATTGCAGAAAAAAAAATACTCGTAATCATCTCACAGTTGTAGCATTATGTACAGTTACTTTTAGTACCATAATATTAATTTAGACGCATTTCCTCATTCAGATAAAACTGAGGGTCATCCAATCTCATGTTGTGCTTTGTTGTCCTTTCAGTCCCCCAAGTGGAGGTAGAGGAGGGGGTGGAGTCTGTCCAGCTGCCCTTCAAAACCACACTTCACCTGCCTGAAGATGCTAAAGTGGAGTGGAAGGACAGATACATCTACAACAGAAAGGTCCACGTGTATAACAACGGCTCTGACCAGCCTGAAGAGCAAGACCAGCAAGACCTGAAATACCCCACAGATGGAGACAACTGGACTTACACCTGCACCGTCTACAGCAGGGAGGGAAATATCCTGCTGAAGAGAAAGGTGGAGCTAAAAGTAACAGGTCAGTGGTTTGTTACAGGTTAAATATCAGAAGCCAGTTCAGTCGGAGGTCATATTTCTGTGACCAAGTTCATTTAAATGGTTTTATTCAGCGAATAACATGGAACGCATTTCATAAGACCTCTCAGTTTTAAATATGCTAGTTAAAATAACTATTAGAGAAACTGCACAAGTGGAAGTAAGCAGGCCTCCACTGCAAAGAAATAGTTTGTCCACTATAAGAAAGAGGAGAACAGCACAGGCCCTGCAGGTCCGACAGCAGGAGGTGTATCAGTCCTGTTTTCCATGTGGAGACAGCGTTTACACTGAAATCTGCCTTTGGTGGCTTTAAGGCAGCAACTGTGACATTCACTCAGGGCCGTGCAGAGACGTTTAAATGGGCGGGTGCTCAAAGTTAAAAAAGGGGCAGATAGAACAGGCTGAATGACAACAACTCACATTCATGACAAATCTAATATGGAATTGCATCATGCTATATGACTGTCATCAGGTGGGGACGATGCAAAGCAAATGTAGCCTTTGTTTTACCTGATGGCGTACAATGTTGCTGTTGAGGGATTACTGCTGTTCCTGCTGCTGATAGTGCTGGAGGGCAGGGCTGTGTTGTTTTGAGACTGTAGACACTAAAAAGTCCATAGGTAGCTGATTAAACAAGTGCTTTGAGACAAAAAAAAATCTATACAGACAGCCTTTTTTTCTGTCTCTTTAGGTCACGAGCAGTTGTGTAAGCATTTCACTGCATATCGTACTGTGTATGACTGTGTATGTGACAAATAAAATTTGAATTTGTTTGAATTTGACCAGCCTGAAGAACAGCACCAGGATTACAGAGACCGAACGGCGATGAATGAAGAGCTGCTGAAAACTGGAGACCTCAGTCTGACCCTGAAACACCCCACAGAGAGAGACAGTGGAGAGTATAGCTGTATAGTTGAGAGAAGGACCATCTGGATAAGATACAAAAATGTGTTTCTCAGAGTCAAAGGTTTGTTTGTTCGTCTGTCTTATCCCTGTACTACAAAACAAGATTTTGTCTTATCCAAGTAACTTCAAGGTTAACCCTGGATTTTTATGCACTATGAAGATGGTTTACTTAACAGGAAATTACCATTGTAACATGAATTTAACCTACTCTGGAGAAAATTGCTTCCCCTGGCTTAAATTAGGGAATTATAAATGGGTAGTGTTGGCAACTTCTGATGGACCAGAAAAGAGCTGCTATGTTAGTAAATTGTAGCCTATATGGAAGCAGGGAGACAAAACAGCAAAAATGTCAGTCGTGTGAGTTAACAGATATACCATTATCAAAACTCTAAGATTAGGACACGGGAGAATCTGACTGATGAAAACTGAGTATTTCTTTGAGTTGGTCATGATGTGCTGTGTGACATGCAGGCGGAAGGACCCAAATGAAGGGCTCACAGATGGAAACTTAAAGCGTAGCTTCATTCGCTAGGAAT